AAGGTATGTTTTGTTGTAGGCTGTGTAAGTGGTGTAGAATGTGGGCAATATTTGGCATTGGATCTCGGGGGAACGAATTTTCGCGTTTGTCTTGTTACGCTCTCGGGCAAAAGGGAACCCCCGATTGTAGAGCAAAGAACACATGCTATTCCTGTAGAAAAGATGCGAGGTACAGGTGCGGAGGTACGTATATCTTCTACGCTACATTTTGTAAGCTCTTCGACTATTTAGCGGCCAACATCTACGAATTTCTCCAGTTACGTAATCTACTAGACAGAGAATTTAAACTTGGATTTACGTATTCATTCCCATGTGAACAAGCTGGATTGAATACGTCTTTTCATGTTAGGTGGACCAAAGGATTCTCAGCTAGTGGTGTTGTTGGTCGAAACGTTGCAGATCTTCTACAGAAATCAATCGACAAAACCGTGAGTATATTTATTCTTATTATTTTTGGTGCACCTAAAATCATTAGCCTTATTCGTGTTTTTATTAATATGTCCATAGACTTCATAAATGTGCATTATATAAATCCATGGCCCCTAAGTATTTTTCGTGACATAAAAATTTAAATTTCTTTATGGCTAAACTGTCTTTAACCGCTTTTTTCCGCTGGCTTTAATATTTTACGGTTGTCACTAAATTTTGGATAGTTAGTAATACCGTTGTTTTGCACTATCTTACAAATGCTATCTCGAAATTATTTAGTAATCTTTAACTACTATATTTAGTGTTTTTTTCCAATTGCGTTTATCAGTACATGCCTCCCATATGTCAATTGATGAGTGGATACACGTGTTAAATAATTGCAAACCTCTTCTAGGGAGCCAAAGTTAAATGCGTGGCGGTTGTTAACGACACTGTTGGCACGCTAGCTGCCTGTTCACTGGAGGACAAGAGGTGTGCTGTTGGTCTTATTGTGGGAACTGGTTCAAATGCTGCCTACCTGGAAGACATAGACAAAGTCGAATTAATTACAGCACGGAAGATAAGCGGCGATCTTAATGAAGAAGAAGTTGCTCATGCCACAAGCGTAGTCATTAACATGGAGTGGGGAGCCTTCGGAGATTACGGTGAATTAGACTATTATCGTACCGAATATGACGAAACCCTAGACAAGGAGAGCATCATACCCGGTAAACAAAAGTGAGTGTTCGTCACCTATCTCTTAATTGTCTTACATAACATTGACCTAACTTTTTTTCGCTCAAGGTTTGAGAAAATGTGTTCAGGGATGTATCTCGGTGAAATAGTTCGTCTTGTATTGGTGGATCTGATCGATAAAGGCCTTCTTTTCCAGGGCCAGATTCCTGAACGTCTACGAAATAAAGATAGCTTCCACACAAAGTATATTACCGAGACTGAACGGTAAGCACAGTTTTTGGCTAGATGTCTCAAGCCTACGTGGATAGTGCAATTTTTTGCCAACTCTTTCTAGGGATCCTCCTCACCTTTTGTACAGCACTTCATACGTGCTAACCGAAGATCTCTTAGTCCCTACTGTTACGCCCCAAGACAGTCGGATTGTGCGGTATGTGTGCGAAGTGGTTGCCAGTCGTGCTGCTCACCTCACTGGTGCAGGTATTGCAGCTGTGCTTGAACACATCAAGCGTCCCGAAGTCTCTATTGGCATCGATGGCTCGCTCTACAAACTTCATCCGCGTTTCCGTGAACGGATGACAGATATTCTTGACAAACTTCTTCCACCTTCTATTCGTGTACGTTACAGGATATTCTTTTGCTTGTTCTCTCTGGCACCGCTTGTCTGAGTAAACTTTGTGGTTTTCTTTTTCAGTTCCGTCTTCGGCTCTCAGAGGATGGCAGCGGAAAGGGAGCGGCGGCAATAGCAGCTGTATTTTCAGGATAATTTTAGCTAATTTGAGCATTCTATCAAATTTACCACTAATTTATCGACTCTTACTCACCCAGTACTCATCCCTGTGATCTTGCCATGGATTTAACTGTACATAATGCATGAATTACGAATCACGCATCTCAGGACAATCAATTTAGCGATTTATTTTCTCTGCCCCCTTGTACCCGCTGCCGTTACTTTGTTTAGCCCACCGATTTCTTTATAATAAAGTTTTGGTATGTAATTATTTTGTTTGGTGCACTTTTTAACGTTTTTTTAGGCAATGAGCAACATTTTTGCCTGTATGACTAGCATAAAATGGAGAGAGAGGTGGTGCTTTGCACCTATGAAGATAATGAAGTTTGGTTTCCCTAGACTTACAGTAGTTGAGACTTTTAGACCGTCCTGTCATTGCTAATTCCTTTCGTTGATAAGCTATTTTCAAGGGTTTTCGGCTCTTTCTTCAACGGTGTCTTTTGGTGTCAAAGTTAAAGCGTCTAGTGGGAAATTTGTTATTTTGTCAAGTCAAACTGCAGAAACCTAGCTACTTGCCTCTGATCGTGGTCACTCACCAAATCCATCCGTATTTTCGACTTCGGTCGTAGGTAGGCGGCGCAGTGCAAACACAGTGCTTTGGCAACGAAGCAGGTCATTCTTGGGTGAATCAGTTTCGTAATTGAACTCAAATGAAGCCTAGTCGCTCTTACCTGTGTCCAAGCTGTGGAGTAATTAATGCCAGCAGATTTGATTGTTGGGTAAATGGCACTGTTGAAACACTTCAACTGGAAGGACATACCTTCGCGCTTCTGAGTGCTCCATTTCAGCTGTAGCTGACAAAGGTAGAATTTCCAATCAAAAACATTGGGTCGCGTTTTTCGATTAAAAAAAAGCTGTTCCTTCCGACTAATTACTGCTTGCATTTCCTTCACTCGCCAACCACGTGCAAGTGATGGGAAGGTATCAACGACTCAGTCACTGATATTTTAATTCTAAAAATGCTTGAATGAGGCCACACAATTGGAAACTAATTGACATTATTTGCCCTACTGCTCTGCCTTGATCTTCCCCTTCAAGCCAAGCACAATGGAGATTACTTGGTTGTGGCGAAACTCATGGGATCAAATCAAGTTTGTATTAACTGGCAATGATACAAAAACATGACTTTTTCTATTTGGCAACTGGATGCGGCCTGATTCCCACCGAGGCAAGCCATCCGCCACAAGTGCACCTTTAGTTCAATGCGGTCAGCGCACCGGATCGTTTTAGGAAGCACAGCCGACGGCTGTGACAAGCGGATGTTATGATAAATGAGACGTCGCCGGCGTCATTTGCGATGCCGCGTCCGCACGTTCATTTCGGCCGGACATCTTAGCATTTTTACATTCAAATTTCAAATGAATCTACACAGTTCCCGAAAACGTCCATTTATGGGAAAGAGCCTACTGATTGCCCTAAGGCATACTTAAGCATTAATACTGCTCACCTTACTGCGTGATGTGGCTTATTAGGTGTTTCGTATTTCCACACTTCAATGGTCACTCTTTTTGTACATTTGTGTTCCGGTAATGCATAAGAGATAACACCATATATGGTGTTTGTATTAAAGAAATTTTGTGGCATCAGAATAAAAATTGAGCAGGCCTTTTCTTTTCAGACAATGCCAAACAGTGCAGGCTGCGTTTTTGGCAAAAGTGAATGTTTCTTAAAAAGCACCCAAAAATTGAGGAATACATGTCAAACTCAAATGACCTGGGCGTGCTGGTAACGTGATCACCCAACCTATTTAACTTACCATACTGGCCTAGGCTCACTGTACTCAAACGTATAACTTCTGGACACCCTCTTGATTTTTTCCCTAGCCGGAGGGCCCGGTTTCAGAAAGGCTACCGCGACTTTAATTCGTCCTTTCTAATTCACCTCTAGTTGTGTTTTGTGAGTAGTACATTCGGTACAATGTTAAATGGTTTACAAAGTTGTTTCGTGCAAAACTGTTTATCTTCAGTTCAGATGCTGTAGCCACTTACTGACGTCATTGCCGTCAAGTTTTTTAGAAATGTTTTCGACTGTCGTTAATCACGCCCGCAGCGGATTCGCTTTGTTTTTGTCCCTTTGCACAACAGCTTTGGGCCGAGGGAGGGTTGCCATATTTCATTAGATTTAACACTAATTAAAAGGACTATTGGTTAATTCATTTGCGTTAGTCAAAATTATCTTTAAACTGTTACTCTTCTAATTTCAATTATTGGTTTGAATAACGCAATTCAAGTTGAGGGGAAGTCGCCTCATTTCTTATGGCGGCTGAAGAGAGGGACTCAAGCTACCAATAACTCCAATACTGAAAGTGCCAACAAAGTGGTGGGTGCTTGTGCGAATTAAAGCATAAATCTGGTGCTGGTTGGAGCCGGCGGCAAGTGTGCAGTGTTACTGGCTTTGAGGTCGAGGCTCTGCCAGTTGGTTTGAGCACAAGGCGCCCTGTGTGCTTGATTGTGGGATTTCGTGGGATGACCTTGACCTCTGGACACGTGTTTTGAAAAGCGGGGAATTCAAAGTCCAGAGTTTTATACCTGGCACAGGGCCCAATGCAATTCAAGAATCACTCACGACTGGCTGCATTGAAACCACTAGTTTCTGATGTCGCTGAGAAGTTACCTTTAGTGTAATCACATGAATACAGTAGAGTGAAGGATTGATGACCCAAGAGCCGTGCAAACGGGGCTAGACTGGCTAATTTTGGGGGCATGATTCTCTACTAATTTAACCTCAAGCTATCATGGAAAATCTGGTCAAAATGAAGGTAAATGAGCTGAATAAATTAGGTGGAGTGCTTGTTTTTTTCACATGTGAAGTAACCTACTTACTGCCAGGTTCCTACGCCGATAATGAAACTTACTTACATTAAAAAGTGAATCTTTATCATCACTAGTCACAACACTGCCTTGCGCACGACCTTCAAGGCACCTCAGTTGACAAAACGGATTTTTCCTCTGTCGTGTGAGTCAGTCTGTAAACTACGATCAGACTGAATACTTACTTATCAGGGTTGAGAAACTGCGGCTGCTACTTTAAACCCAATAACAGCTGGATTAGGCATTACCTGTATGTGTGATGAATGGACACATTTGAACGACGAATTTCGATCGTACTAATATTCAATTCATTTAACACAACTGAGCTTGAATCTTGCGGCCTAAATATTGTGCTCCCCCACCCTCCACGGATTCTTTAAAGTTTACTAACAGTAGAGTCCAAATCCGAGCCAATTTCAAGACTCACGTGCTTATTTAAGTGGTTATCCATGGCAAACATCTTTGAACGAATGTAATACACGGTATACGTTTCATGTGCGTACACGCTCACAATGTGTTGTCAGTTTAAGTTAAGATTTTACCATCCACGGGGCAGTGTGGATACCTTCATGTGATCCATTTTGGCCAAAACACCTCCAAACTTATGTCACGTTCCAGCGATGAAATCAACAACACGGGACTTTTTTCACATAAAGCAGCGTTTTTATCACTCGCACACACCAATTTTAAGCGCGCCGTTGTATACGTTTGGCGTCGCCATGGCCCCACTAAGGTAAGCATTGGCGTTTTTTGCAACCGTTAGACTGTTTATGGAGGTGTGGTTAAGGTGCTTTCTCCTTGACATAACTGTCAATTTATTAAGTTAATGTTACCTGACTCCCATACCTACCACTGGCAAGGGCTGTACATCACCCGGTCCATCGTTCCGATGGTTAATACATCGCGTGATTTGCACGTCAGTGCATCCACTTTCTACGTTTTTTTTTATGCCTTACTCTTAAGTATTTGTTAATGCTTAAGCGTCTACGTCATAAAACAGAAATCAAGGCAGAACGAAACAGGACGTTGTTCGGGAATCATGTGGTCAATTGTGGGTGTCGACTGTCTGCGTGACTAAATTTCGCGTGAGAATTTTTTATTTCCACATGACTTTCAATGGATTTCAACCAGTTCCTGCTGATATTTAGTTTGAATATCTACAACCAATTGTGATTTTAAAGCATAAACTTAACAACAAAAGTAGGACCTTTTACATGAGATTGTTTCCATTATGAGCAAACCTACTCAAACACCAAAAATAAAGTCTTAAGCGGAAATTTGTTTGATTTGATGATACCTCCTACCTAGTTACCAATTCCGGACCTGGTGGTAAGTGGTTTCCCGAAGTTTTGGTTGCACAGACGCAACGGCCAGAGAAGAGTTGTTTGCTCTCGAAGTGTCCACGCTATCGCTGGCCGAAACAATCAACTGAACTTATTTTGAACTGAAGTTAAGCTCAAGTTACAAACTAGACAACAATTCCGTTGTCCCATTAACTTACCTCCATCCTATCATTAGCGCCTAATTATCGATGGTATCTTAAATAAACAACAACTGAGAGGCAATAAATGTTTCTGTTATATATAGGCATTAATCTTTATTGTAAAAGTGCTGTCTTAACCACGCGTTAATGGCCAGACTTGGGAGGGTCGCTTCGATGCTAGGATTTGGTGGTCTGGTTACTCTTGGCCGCTGCATCCGCGAATGTCCACACTAAAAAAGGGGGAAAGCAATAGTATTTTAACATGCACAACGTGATGAGAAGGCATTTAAAGTTACTGGACCCTCGAAATTTTTTAAGGAACCTCGAGGCAGAACTTTGAGCTCAATTAATTAAATCAATAACTAAAAATAATTTTTTCGAGTGGTTTTCGATTTTGAGTGTTTTTTTTCTGAAAAAATTAGATACTGAACACCGGGAATATCTTGGTTTTCCTATATTGAACTATTCAAGCTAACTCCACCTAATCTGGTCACTAAAACTAATTTTAAAATTGAAATTTTCAACTTATTGTAGGTAAACGCGTCTCCTTTGTGACACGATTAACAAAACCGTCGCGTTTAGAAGCAATGGATCACTTTTTCAAATTAATTAAACTGAAATCAAGACGTTAAGATTCGCGTATCTTACAAATGGTGCACGTGTAATCATAATTGGCCATGGTTAACCCACCACTCGCAGACTAAAGTAGTGATTTTAGCCACCTCTTAAAGTAAATGACATCTTTGTTACACCACTAGGCCCGATGCCTTTTGTACTCTGGCAAGTAGCCGAATGGATGGTGCGGCAAAACACTGAGGTAACACTGCATTACTCTTTTTGCCTCGACTACTTAAAACGCTCCTTTATGTGTTGCGTGGATGAGGAACACGTCAGAAGTTTGCGTAAGTGCATGTCAAATACAGCCTGGATCTGAACTTTATCAGGTTTTAGTCGGCCGGTTCATCGATCCTCTCTCGTGACAGCTATTAACCATGTCTAATTTGACACTTTCCGACTGGAATAAATACGGCTCTCAGGACGGAAACAATTAATTGAAAAAATGCCTCACCTGGTCTGCAGTGGCAGCCTCTAAATACTTTGTCTTCGTTGCGTGGATCAGCCTTCCAGCTGATAAGTTGGAGTACGGCGTATGGCGTATCAGAGAGTAGTGAGTTAAGGAACATGGTGTTCATACAGTGGGCTCGCGTTACGCCAATCATCACTCGAGCGCTTTCCGTGTACTTCTGGAAAGGTGCTGGGTTAGGGGCCTGGAAAGAGACCAGCACAAAGCAATCATAATTGCACCGGTGTATTCCAAACCCCAAGAGCAGAACCCTGCCAAAGCACCGGATACCTCAACATAAATCGGTAGACGCGTCAGTTGGATTGTCGTGAGGATAAAACAAGCGTAACTTGATATGCACCCACAGAACACTTTAGGGGTCAAATCATTCTATTGAATGAGGCAAGCTAGAAGAATCTCTCTATCCTCCCAATCACCGAATCATGCTTTTTTTCTCACAAATTTTGCAACGATTATATTGAAAAACCATACTAGTTCCATTTTCAATCCATTTAATCATTCACTTTCGCATTTAATGCATTAGACGCGCATTTTTCATTTTCCTGAATTACCTGTGTTATTGCCAAAATGACTACTTTTAACTCTTTTTGATATAATCTGTTTGTTACATGCCTAGAGATAACTGGGATAATGCGTGTTTGCCAATGTCTGTCAACTAAAAGGTTCTAGTTATTGGGGTTCCGGTGGTTTATTAAACTATGATTGACGCACGAAGAATACTTTACAAATAAATACAAACATTCATTGTTTTTTTCACTGTAAAAAGTTGAGCATAGAAGACGGAAGGAGTCGGCGCCCTTAAATTAACCTGCCAGTATTTAAGCCTTAACTAACTTTCATACGCCAACCTAGGCACGTCAAGTTCTTTTACAGGAACCAATTTCCGACTGCTAGGGCTGCACGCAAAGCACGAGTAAGTGGTCTGAAATGTTTGAAGGTGGATAGTGCTACCTCGGAAGCACTTAGCAACAATAATGCCACTATTGGCGTTCACTCTATCCCTGATCCCATTGGCCTACATGGAATGCACAGTTCCCAATGGGCCTTAAGTGTCTTGCGTCTTTAGTGGTGCCTTTGGTACAAATTTTCTACACGCATATTTAACTCACAAGTTACACTTGTTTCAAGATCGTCAGAGCCTACGGAGGAACTAATTCGCCAGTATTCGTGAAGTTAATTGCGTGATTTTACTGGGTCCTCTCAAACCAAGTCAATCCGGAGATGGTGGGGAGCTTACATTTACATAATGCGGCATTTTGAAGGCTTTGATTATCCACTTGAGGGCCTCTTGAGGTTGGCCAGCCTTGTCGTAGGTGTGTCCGAGGAGGTGACTGGCTTTGCACAGCTGCACCCAATCCCCATTCTCCTCACACAACTCTGCATACATCTTCAAATAACGAATCGTTTCAGAGAGATTTTGTTGGCTACAATAATAGAAGTTTGGTGGCTAGTTGACTGAGGTCAGTGCAACAAAACTCAAATCAAGCCAATTTCCACTGAAATATGTCACGGTAGTCAGCAAATCACAAAGTTTCATCACGATCCAAAACCTATACGGAATTGCTGCCAATGCCCAAGTTGTCCAATTTGTAGAGGATTTGCAGAGATCGCGCCTGAGCAAACCCTGTTTACTGACCTGACGGTGGCTCACCACTTTTCATTGACTACTGTTATCAGACGCCTCTCACTCGCTCAAGCATCCACACACTAAGACATGCACCTAATAAACTGTCGCCTCTCCTCCCTCTCTTCTTGAGGTGTTATCAGCTGTTAGCTGGAGGATTTTAAAGTAGTGCTAAGTGAAGCCACTTCAATTTAAATCAATATCACTTTTTAATAAGATGCTAGCAATGAAATAAATTTTTAAAAATTCCTTGGCCTACGCACAAAATTTGAGGAACTGGCCACTGCCAGACATGTAGCCAGTCTATAACTTTGCCGCCTCTCTAAATGGCAAGGTTACTTTCGAGGCAAACGATTAAACTCACGATTCAAACAAATGAGCCAGCGCCTCACAAGCACCTCCCAAGCTCATCCAGTCATTTGCTTCTTTCGCCAAGTCAAAGTACCCTCGGTAAAACTAAATGGAATTAAATGATTACAAAACGATAAAAGGCCTCGCGTGGAAGCACGCGAAAGCAGACTCGACCTACTGTGATGGCATCACCAATTCGATTTGCCTCCTGCAGCATTTCTCCCATTCGTCGACAGGTTGGAGCGGTAAGGTTCCAGTCATTGCCTAAAAATGCACTAAATTTTTTGAAAAATATATACCCCTCAAGTTCACGTTTCAATTTTGGTGAACTTTCACGAGAAATGTCAACGCTAAAAGAGCATTATAAAGAAATCAAAAAACAAAAAATTTGACCCTAAGCCTATTTTATGAAGAGAGAGAATTCCTTCTATTTGAGTGGCCAAAAATATAGAGCTTAGCACACTTACCTGTGTAGAATGATGGGAATTTTCGTAGCATTTACGATGTCAATCTTGATTTACTGTTTTTTTATTCCGATCCTTACTGAGCGGCGCCTACAATTTTCTCACTGAACAAGTGGGACTAATTTTAAACGCCATTGGACCTAGACAATGGCTCTAAGCATCCATATTTGCTGTGTACATGTACATTTTAACATTAACTGTTTCTCTGCTTATTACCATGATAGTTACTGTTTTCGAAAACATGAATACGTCGTCGAACCTTACGGATTGTCTCATGCGTTATAACAGAAGCCGCTAGGAATTCAAATTTACTTCGTTTTGTTAAGTTTGTCACAAGAGGGGCCGTTTCATGTGTTGTTGTACCAAACCTGATCGGTCATGTTCTTAACAGAACGGGAGATGAAATGAATGCATGTACGCAAACATTTAAAACGAAAAAAAATACATTTTCGGTAGACACGGTTGGACTAACTTGCTGAGGCGATTTCATGAGCCTTAGTGCAATAGGCCATGCGTTCACAGACGCGTTCTTTTGGCGTAGCATCCTGCAGCGCAAGGTATATCCTAACGAGGTGTCTGTCTGCCTTTGCGGACAGTTTTTTGTCGTCGTCATCTCTCCAGTCCTTGTTGCGCGTTGAGTTGTAAAGGTACACAAAGAACTTACACGCCGTCTGTAGGTCACCTAGATTTCAGCAGTTTAAAGATTACTCCTTGCACATCAACCCGAGTAGAAAAACAAGTAGAATTCATACTAATAGTAGGGCGTTTAAACTTTTACAAGACTCTTTAAATAGGGGATTTGTAAAATCAGCTTTATTCGGCTTTTGCTTGTTTTAATGCACTTATTTATGCTTCTGCGTATTACGAAATGAGCAGCAGCACAATCGGGAAGTGCAACTTCTGTTGAGAAGACACTGTCAAATAACATCTCGACTAATGTACAGCCGACAACCTGACATTCCATTGTCATTGTACGAAGTTATAGTTATCATCTTGTTCGTGGAATATATTAACTGCAGAAAAATCTACATAAACAGAAATGTGCTTGCATAAAGTTAAAATTTGTCAACTCAAGTGTAGAAATTTAGAATCGTGTTCAACGTTATTTAAAACACATTTGGCTTTTTAAATAGTAAATTTTTTTGATTCTGAAATACTCAAGCCCAGGGAATCTCACGTTACTCTTATGTACGTATAGAACCTCTTTTAATCAGCTTAAAATTGTGGCACCACATTCCACTCTAACTACACACAAGAGAAAAGCCACGCCCTCAGAAAAAATGTGGCATTTTTTTCAGAAGCTTAAACATTTTCACTTGCGACTTTCACGATTTATCACACAAATGTTTATATGAAATGACAAAGTGACGTTTTCGTGACAAAAAATAACTAAATCCGCATCATTTTCTGTTTATAAGGTCGAAAGCCACGCAGATAACTAGGTATGCTAATATATGGTTGGGTTTTAAAGGCTCCAAATTCATTTAAAATTTTGTCCCGTTTATATTTCGGCCAATTTACCTAAGACAATATCCGACTTTGCAGTGATCCCTATAGGCTTCTGCTGTTCTAGTAACCAACAACGTCTGAACTTCAAGATAATCTCTTCTTTCATACTTAAATGATCTATTTTAATGTCCCATAATTATCAACTAACTGATGATTGCTAATCCACTCACATCATCTTTGATTAGCCATTTGAAAAAAATAATTCCATTTTATCATTTACCAAAATTGTAGGATCCAGCAGACCCATTATTTCCTCAAAATTTCTAGACTGAATTGCCAAAGTTGTTTTCGCTCTCTCAATGAGACAAGTCGACATAAGCTCTTTATGTCAAGGAGGCAAATTTGAAAACAGTGGTATTTTATTGTAGTAAATAGTATTATGTACTAAAAGCACTCAGGTATAAAACAATATGCATATCCAAATTTTTACACCATACGACAAAGGTAATTTTTTCGGCAAACAATAAATGCCCCAGAAGTTAAAATCACGCGTTTTACATTGTTGTAACAAAATAATGGGGAAATTCCAAAATGTTTGCAGTAATTTGATGTCAATTATGGTAAATTGAATAAATCTGCAATACATGTGGACGTGTAAACTTTATGGAAACGCAAATTGTAGCTGATTTCATAGTACAACGGACCTTTTGTCAGTGACACAAAACACATATAAGCAAACAGTAAATCGAACCACGTCCATGCATATTTTAATTACACCACAGGGGAACTTCTAAGACGTGTGGATAGATTTCGATTAATTACTTTAACAGTTTTCGGTTAGGGTGAATGGTACAAGTTCTGGTAGCAAAAAACTTCCCGTTTTACTGGTTCATGAGTAATTTTGAGTTCCAGTTATTTTTAAATTCTGATCGCCTTAAGTTTTTTAACGTACAGTTGCGCAGCTATACCGCACACATCAAGCGGTGCCTAGGCACTCCCATTACAATCGTGCCCCATCAGTAATTCCCAGTAGTGGGTGCCTTGGTTTTATAGTTTCGCCTATTAAGCGTATGTTTTGTAGATTGATTGAAAAAGTATAGGCAAAATGTTTCATTTATTCAAGTATATAATTCAGTATTGGCCTAATTTGCTATGAAGAAATTATTCTTTCGATTCAGGAATGACGAGGGGAGAAATCCAACTGTTTCATTGGTTTAGTTCTGATGTCAACTGAATGAAATCTTTTCAGCGAGAGATAGTCACATGAAACGGGGGAAGTCAGCTCTGACTTACGGCTGCTTAGGAAGTCTCTAACTGCTGTATCGAATCAGATACTTGCCTAAATTGACTGAAGCACGACTCATCTCAATGTAGTAGTGAATTTATTGGACTACATTGTTTATTCCATCTTCTCCTAACTCCATGACCGTACACATGAGGTATTGAAATGTAAATCAGTGTGGGATGTTCTACATAGTTGCCTTATTCAGCGTCAGTAACTGCAGGCAACGCATTGATTGTATCAATAACATGGAAAGTACACTGAAACCAATATCAGAAATCCCAACTTGTAGTTATAGGTACTTGGAAGACATTCTGTCATGGGTCTTGTCAACGCACATAAAGTCAAATTAGGGGCGTAGAAACATCAGTAGAGGTCACTGAAAAGGTGAGGTTCTGTTGCCACAGCGTACGGTGAGTGCACACGTCATGAGATGCCAGTCCCCTTACATGCTACAACTTCATATGCGCCGTGAATATCACTAGTTTATTGAACAAATAAAGCGACTGTTTTAGAGTAAATCAAACACTTTTAATTATCCGCCACAGCCTACGAAACCGGTGAACTTAGTGCAATGCAAAACGCAGCATTGAAAATTCTAGACAACATATGCGCTATAACTTGCCTTTCACCTCTTTAGCAAGACCGTTGTACTCGTAGGCTAGAGCAAGCTTCACACCTCCATCGTCAGTAATTCGTTTTGCAACCGTGAAACAGTAATCAAAGAAGTGCTCCGACAGCCAGCGGTCATCGGGGAAATCGTGAAAGTATTTTGCAAGTTTTGAGTAGCATAAGAACACATTATGATTGTCCCGTCTTCTAGTCGCAACCTCTGCTCTTGAGAGTTGGTCACGCAGCATGTGGATTTTCTCTGGCTGCTCGCTGATTGGTGGAATTTTCCAAAGTTTTGAATAAGGTCCCGCCTTTCGACGCTCTTCCATCTGCTGCTCGTGGATTTGGAAGATTTCTGTGAAGGCGTAGTGATAGCCATTTTCCAGGAGATCGTGACACAAGGTCTCATAAAAGGGTAGTTGGAACCTTCACAAAAAATGTTGCACAGAATAATTACCAAATTATAGGAAGGAAGTCTGTCTTTTACTAAACCATTTTTCTATGGCTTCTTGCACATGAAAAGAAACATTTTAATACTTTAAAAACCTATTTTGCTAAAGCTTGTTTCGACAAAATTGGCCATGGAATATTTAGTCTTCTAAGCATGACTTGAAGTTTGAACCTTGATGTGCAAATGAGGATATTAATGTGCTGACAACGAATCGCTTCCAGTTTTTTGATGTGAATATAACTTCTTCTTCGATAATGAGGTATACAGTATAAATGTAATTATTTTTATTTTGCCTTATGGTTTGTTATCGTTCTAGCATTTTAGTAATTCTCCGCTGACTGAATGTTTGGTTCCAAGTAGCAAAATACCGACACAGGTGCAATGTCAGGTCATCATCATTGGTCAAAGTTGTGTTGATCAAAACGTTTTACAGAGATGGAAATGAAAAACTCCCTATTAAACAAGATTTATGGCCATTTTTGGTAAAACGTTTACGAGGGTATCCACATCACACACCAACAGTGGCTGTCTTTACCTGATGCTTTCTTGAATGATCTCTCTGTCTCTTCATTGAAAATAAATATCATAAACATTATTTCATTGATTTAGATAACATCTCGCTAAGTTGGCAGTATAAAGCAGAAAATCAGGAGGTCGGTAAAAAAGTTGAGTGAGTGATGCCCAAAACGGAATTTCCAATCGAATTCAGCACTGGAATTCGATTAATCGATCAAGGTCACTAACTTTACATACCTCACATCTTTTATTAAACACCCTAACTTCCCACTTCTGGTAAACAAACGTTTGGAACATTTGTCCACAGCAAAGACTAATGATAAAAATTATCAACGTCAATAGAAAAGGCTTACAGCACTAGAAGATGTCATTCGAATACATCACAACCCTAAATACTTGGGAAAATCATGGATACTTTCCTTGTCAAATCGTTATTCATAACGTTAACATTCTACATACAATGTGACACAAACTGACAAGATTTAAGGTGCCATTCGCCAATTCAGAAATGGATTATGAGACACTCAAAGATGGCTCAGAGACTCATGTTCAAATAGACCCGCAAAGTCAACTGGGAGTAAATTCAAAACTTTTTAAGATTCTTAAAAGGTTTTTTTATAAGGAGGCCATGTGTCAGCAAAGAAAGAACCCCGCTGTTGACATTAATTGCAATAAGAACGCCTGATTCAGGTTTTAAATCAGCTATTTACCAGATATAATAAACGAAATCAATAGGGTGAAGGCTGGCACGGGTTTTTAGCAAATCAGTCTCGTGACTCCTTTAATATTGCAAAAACAATAAGAAAATGAGAAAAAATTAAGTTGCGCCTTTTAGAAACTAGAATCCATGGCTTTTTGAAAGTGAAAGAGCACTGTTTAGGAGCTTTGTTGTGGGACACGGAAACCTACTCGTCTTAGTATTCTTCATTTCACGTCGTCTTGCTGCCACCATCATGCCATTTTTTCCCGAGTTTACCCATTTGCACTTTAAGGTTGTTTTCGAGGTTGTAACAATGGCAATATAAAAAGCCATCAGCGTCAATCAACGCACGTGGATACACCCTAGTGATGGGGGTTTCGAGACTGCGAAAACAGAGTGGGGTGTGTACGACAGGGAACCGATTTGATGAAGATCACTTCGACTGTCGTTCAGGCGTACTGCGACGCCATCTCAAAGCTCTTTGCCTTCTCTGCACATCTCATGGAGAAATAATTAGCACAGATGATGGTTATGGCTTTAACAAGAATCGATATCCACCAACGAAAACCAGGGTGGTGCTACTTCAGGCAAAACACATGTCATTCCCTGATGGTTTGATACAAGTCAAAGGATGCGCGTTGACTAAAACTACAAATGGATTTTGCGAGTTGGAAAATTCTTTGAACATCTCAGAAATATGCTGATGAACTGCTAAGTGGAACATCAGAGCTTGTTAGGCGCCTAGATAATCCAGTTGTTGAGCTTGGACCCTCGCCCTCTTTCTAATGACAGTATTTCCAAAAATATGGTTTTAAGCCAAAATTTACGTTTCTGTGTCCTATGAACAAGTCTTAAGTCCTCACATGTGTGTTCTTTAAGCATGTTTCTCTCAATTTATCGCATTCGTCTAACAGTCGGGCAAATTTTTGCGATCTCTTTCCCAGGCAATCACGTTAAATGTGGTGTGCCTTTCTCTAAATAGCCCAAATTTTTGAATGGGAACCACAAACATAATTCATTTCATAGGCTCGTTACACTTTAAAAAAGGTTTCGCCTTTACTTTGTTTTAGGAAAATTTTACTTTCGGCAAATTTTAAATATACATGAATAGTTTAAAACTTGCTCAAGTATAAAAGATGTCCCCGTAAAATTTTAGACCACTAAATAAGAACTTCAACTACTAGCACAAGTTTTCAAAATCAATGAGGAACTGACTGTGAGTACAAATTATTTCTAATTTTTCAAAATCTCTGAAATCACATGTCTTGCTCAGCATATTTTATGGTCTTGCTTTTCTACTCCAGAATAATAGAGAAGATAAATTCAAAAATGATTTCAATTTAGCGGCTAGTTGGAAATCTGACCAATCAAACTGCAAGAAAGTGCGTCTGACAAGAAAACCTGCATTGCAAAATCTGGTCATAATGTGAATCACGTACTGTGCTATTTGTTTTCTCGACAGATACGGTAACTCTGCTCGTAGACGCAGTTTCACAGCTTCGCTGTTGAAAGCCTCATTTAAAAATTCACACTTGACTGCACCGGATCCGGGGGTGGGGTTGTTTTTGTTACATCCAAAACCGGTAGCAGGCGTGTCCGATGAACTCAGGAGGCTGGTGGGAATCGCGCCGGGCCCTCCTGTACCGCTAACCAGTTTAGTGCCTATCCCCTGTGCCAAAGTGCAAGCCGAGGGACACAGATTTTGAGATGGGAAGTTTCCTGTCCCAAAGCAGTTCGTTTTGCAATCGAATGGGGTCCCGAATGGTCGATCCTGTGGCATTGTGCATGGCCTAATTTGATTATACGCGGTACATTTCTATCTCAGGCCTATGCGTGAGATTTTATCGATTGTTTTTAAAAATGACAAGTTATTTGCCTGCGTGCCATGTGCACAACCAGCTGACACTAAAAGACTTCAGCGTCTTATAACTAAACATTTAATTAATCATGATTTATTCATGTAAGGTAATATCACAAGCATATCTCAAAAGCTACTTGAAGTACCCCTCAAAAATGAAGGTGCAGTAAACGAGTGGATCACGTTATCTGACACAAAATTGTGCCTCACCGGATCCTATTATTCCGTTTAAACTTTTAACCATAAAACAAGACAAATGCCTACCACGCCTTAACGTTGAATTTTGTTCTAATTAAAGGATACGTGTAAAGTTAAAAGGGCGAATAATGTAACTGAATAATTGATTTTTACAGATCAATAAAAACGTTTACCTATGCATCTATGCGAATATGGAATACATGTTTATATCATGAGACAATGAGAATGGTCCTAACGTGAGAAAATGGACAGGTCTATTTAATTAGACCATGAGGTTTCTGGTTCACATTCCAGCTTATTCGATCTAAAGTGATTTTTTTTGTATTTTATAATAAAATAAAATTTGGTTTGATGACAAATTTTGCCAGTTTGAGTTACAGAGGAAAAACTGTCCAGTAATTGTGCCTGTAAGGTGTGGCTCCTTAGGGTTATTTATGCTAAGGGAGGCACTGACGTCAACGAAGGTTCGTTGGGTATTTCTGATAACTAGGTTTATGTAAACATTTCGCCCGAACGTACATAGGATATCACGAATCGGTTAGTTGCCACCTAAGTTGATTTTCCAAATGTTTTCCAGCACCTGATGTCTGCTGCAGAGGAAGACCCGCAAGACGTCTCCCTTCTCGCTAGTGTCATTCGTCACAACCAGAATTCAAACTCAAACCGATTTAGTTTAATTCCACTAAGAGGGGTTGTTTAAACACACAAATATCAATCAATCAGTACGACCACCGTGCCGCCGAACTAAATGTGAACAAACGCTTAATGTCTCTCTGACGGACCCACCCTGGTGACACATGACGGTGAGACTTCCGTCGACGGACGATATGTGCACGCCTCCACCTTCCACTGGCCTCCGCTGCCAGCACACTATGCAGTCCTGTGTTATCCGTAGTATCTTTAAGTCCCCAAAGAGAACAATGAAGACGTCTTAGATGCTAAAAAGGATATTCAGCCCAGGAAAAATACATGCTTCCTGAAGAAAAACACGTACATTTAGCCTGGACTGCAAAACGTACACCGGCTGAAATCATTACCGGGGATTTCCCAGTGTACTAACATCCACTAAAGTGTAGACACCTTGGTCAAGTGATTTTTGCACCAATATCCTGGTGTATTAAAACGACCACCTTTTGCCGTATGAATATCTAGAGGTAATGGGTTCAAATTCTAGATAAGAAGAACCGATACGAGCCAATAAATTTAAATATGACGCCCAAATATAGCGGGATAGTTTTCTGTTTGTGTAAGAACGAATGTGTGCTGTAATCTTGCCCAAGCAAATCAAATATCTACGGTCCCTAGTGTATGAAACCTTTTACACATTTGCTTCTGAAGATTTGGACGATCGGCTGAGAGGTGTTTGCTTAAACGTCACGTCCAACATTATCTGTTGAGGTTCATCAAATGCCGCTTTACATGAGTAAATGGAAGATTTCTGAGTTCTACCGAACTTCACTATTTTGCGAAACATCTTTCTAGAACATTGCGATTTCCGTCAACTGGCAGCCTGTAAATCCTCATCTAACTCTCGTGTTTTCTGTAGAGCTTACCAGGAATTTATGTGTGGTTTTTGTAAGGCAATAAATTCGAAGTGGCACTTCGTTCGTTTATCTACTCTGGTTTTCCTTGGTGGCTAATAAAAGTGTTGTTAAAGCCATGACTGTCCTCTGTGCTAATAATTTCTAGATGAGATGTGCACAAAAGGTGAAGAGCTTTGAATGGCAAACGAAGTGGTCTTTATCAAATCACTTAACTCTCGTACACACCCCACTCTGTTTTCGCAGTCGCGAAAGCCCCATTACTAGGGTGTATCCACGGCGGTGATTGACGCTGATGTCTTTTTATTTTGCCATCGTTACAACCCCGAAAACAGCCTTAAAGTGCAAGTGTGTAAACTCGGGAAAAAATGGCATAATGGTGGCAGCAAGACGACGTGAAATGAAGAATACTAAGACGAGCAGGCTTCCATTTCACACAACAGAGCCCCAAAATTGAATCGAAGCTTCGTGTTGAATATTGTGAGTGAATCAAATTGTACAAATGTTGGTCCTTTCTAGCTGAAACACTTGGTAAACCGAATTCAATTATTTGCAGTTATTCTAAATGTTGGTTTATTCTAATATCAAAAACATCTGCTATATTTGCTTTCAGAGCCCATTTGATGCAGAATCATTTCCTGTAAATACAGTTTAAAAAATTGAGAGAGAGAGTTTATGAGCATGGAATCACCATGACGGCTAACTGTACTCACCTTTTCGATGTAGTTTATTGTGGTGATGTAAAACTATGAATGCTAACGTCACGTGCTAGCCCTAATTGTGGTTCCTCTTTGTTTGTGACAACCTTCTGCGAGATCAATCGGCCTCACAAGTAGACATTTACCTTCAAACTCTTTCCGATAATAAGCCCACGTTTGTGCTGTTTTGCATCGTTTGTTAAGGCATTCATTCTTTTCGGTCATTTCGTTACTTTGAGGTCTAATTTTTTGACCAAATAATTGTAATATGTTAGGGACACACGCCAAATTTTGATGAATCAGCAATCAATTAAAAGTGGTGTGCTAGGCAGAAGCCTTATTCTCTAGTCTTCATTATCATGTTTGACTCCAATTTAAAAAATGAACTAATTTGGAAAGTTAGAAGAGGTGAAGAGTTGATTTCCTGCATCCACGTAAAGTGAATCGTGGGTAAAAGCAGCATACGAGAACTCGAGGCATTAAAGTTGACTGCGATGAAGGCGGCAGTGGGTGGGGTGTTTTGTTGTGTCGTGAGCTGAATGCTGTAGGTCGCAAGCACAACACCGACAGACAGTTTACTTGATCCGAATCGGTGGTTTTTTTTTGCATTGAGGTCTTGTTATGCGCAGCCACTGCTCGGCAATTTTTTTGTAACGGTGTATTTATTAAATAAATACATTAGGCATTTTTTACATCACCTTTATTTCTGGCAATATTATCCACTTACGTTTTAGAAAGGTGCACACTACCTAATTGATGCTCAACTTTGACTAAATCAAGAAAAAATTACACGGAATTTATTCCAGTCCGTCTCCACGCCTAGATAGATACCAGCTTCCAAAGTTTTTCGCACCAAAATGAAAAATTATTGAAATTTGTTTGCATTCAAACCTTTAGAGACCGGTTCTTGGTTTACAATAAGGAATTTCTTTTTTGTGACGAAAATCTAGAAAACACAGTTCAACTCAAATTTTATTCTTCATGTAAGGTTTGTAGATTTCCTACCGTTGCCATGACGATCCATGTTAGAGGACCTGAGATCCGCCACAATCTCGTGGTTGGCGAATAATTGTAATATGTTGGGGATTAATTAAAAGTGGCATGCTAAGTAGAAGTTTTCAAAGTGGCACTGCCTTCGTTTATCTACCCTGATTTTCATTGGTGGCGATTGCCTATTAGCTGAGGCCATGTCTGTCCTCTGTACTAATTATTTTTCCCGTGAAAGTTTGCTTATAGACATGTACCTGTCACAACCGGTAACGACCATTAAATAGTCGTCCAACTTACTTCTTCTTCGTCTGTGAATGGTTACTAGGCGTCATTTTCTCTTGTCGTTGTTAATTTCTCCCTTCGGCAGCGATTACCACGCGCACCAGTGCCAACCCACTGCAAATCATGTCCACGCTTATCGAACCTTATACCTCATGCTGTGTTAGGTCCCTTCATCCAACGTTGTTCTATCCGGCAGTAAACTTTAATCATGCTTCTGCTACACTGTTTCCTCCTGCTGGTGTGCTGGCGTAACGCATTTTTGATTAGGTTTGTGCATTGCCATTGTCAATTCCCAGCAACACATTCACTTAGCTTTAAGCAAAATCAACAGAAACTCGGACTTCATCCTTAGGGACGCTAAAACCTTCACTGAAATTTTTTAGCGTTTCGTAGGCAAAGTAACAAATTTAGTGGATTTTGGTTATAGCCATGTGTCCCCACTTTAGTGATATGTTCCCAAGTAAAGAAGTCTTGGTCCATAAAACGCAGACACTGATGGACAGGTCCATAAATGGCAAAGTTAAAGTCTCATGCCACCCGAAAACAAAAGCCTGCTTGTGAAAATGAAAATCAGCACGAACTGCGCTGCATAAGTCAGCGTGAGGATTTGGAGACAAGTAGCATCACAATGGGACACGCACAAACAAATGGCCATGATACTTTTTTTTAAATGTAAACACTTAACAATGGAATGACGAAATCAAACCATCATCCAGTATGGTGAGCAAGGGAGTCGGCAACACAAACAGATGCCAAATCACAAGAATTGTAGGTGCAGTAGGTGGTCAAGATTGTGGGCCAGAGGGCTAGCCACACCTTAAACGACGGATCGCGGCCTGGTGCACTGAAAACCCCAAAGTCCGGTAAACCGACTGCAACCGTCTAAGTGGTGCCACTGTGTTGACATGTCACCCGTCGGTGGCGCGATCATACTTCCGTTCGGGCGCAACATTCCACCCCTAAAGGGCACTCGCAATGACGACAGGGCAGCGCGGTGCCTGAACTATTCGTCGCTTGCTCTATTTCCTTCCAAATTCAATTTTCCACTGACCCTTGTTTTTCATCCTATCGCCTTCTGGTCCGTGGTTGGGAAAATTTCTACATTATTAAGGCTATCTAGCTAGCGTAAACAGTAGTCAGCCTTGGGATTCAAATTAAACAGGATTTTTTATTTTGAAATCAGTATGAATTGGTCGTTCACCGCGTTGGTCTT